TTGTGTGTTCTCGTAACAATAAATGTGTTGAATGTGAAAACAATTACATTTTTAATAATAACAAAAGTTGTGTTAAAACATCACAAAATAATAATTCAACAAATTGCATCTCATTTAACAAAAATGGGTGCGTTTCGTGTGCAGTCGGGTATTACCTTTTAAATGCTGAATGTAATTTATGTTCAGAGAATTGCACCAGTTGTGTAGAGAGTGACACGAAGTGTCTTTCATGCAAGTCTGGATTTTATCAAGGTGATAATTACACTTGTTTATCTAGCACAGACTTGTTGAATAAATGCAACAAAATATCAACAATAACAAGTGGGTGTTATCAATGCAAAGACGGGTATTACAGAGTTGGTCTGAATTGCTATGAGTGTCTTTTGAATTGTTCAATATGCAACACAAAAGAAAAATGTTTGACTTGCAATTTGACAAATTACAAGACACAAAGTGGTAAGTGTTTGCCACAAAACAGTGTCATTGGCTGTGCTGTCGAAGTCACACAAAATGGGTGTAACAGGTGTATAGATGGGTATTACACAGTTAATTACAATGAATGTGAAAGGTGTAATGACAACTGCACAACATGCACACAACCCGAAAAATGTTCATCCTGTGTTAAAAACAAAGTTTTATTTGAAAGTGGACTTTGTCTTGATATTTCATATGTATTACAGTGTATTGAAATTTCAAACTCAAAATGCTCCAAATGCACATTCTGGCACTCACCTAATGATAACGGCACATTTTGTGACAAGAAGGCTGTCTGGTGGGTACTGCTGATTGTAGTGGTGTTTGCAATTATTGTGATGGCAGTTGTGATAACTCAATTGTGTGTGTTGTGTATTTTATTGAGAAGAAAATGCGACAAAAGAAGACCGAAAAGACAAGAACACTCTTTAGAATGAGTCGCTCAAACATCGCATTTGTATCACTTTGGTGATGGATATTGTTGTGAACAAAACGGAAGTTTCATTTGGGTCAGGGACGTCGATGTCAACACACAACAAAGAGAAACTTTTATGTGTTTGGCAATATTTCAAAGCACAATATAAAAATCCAAATCACAACTAAAAGTGCAACAGTCGAGAAATATCTACTTGAGTCAAATCCGAAGATAATAGTGTTGCCCAGTGGTGAGGGCCTGTGAATTT